TACACTTTTTTATGAACACTTAGACTTGGACCGGTGCCTGTGTATCTTACTAATATCATACCTCAATGGTATTGAATTTGGCTCTCCTCGTAAATAGCCTGCTAATTTGGGTACTTAAGTTTTCTCAACAATATTATTAGCATTGAAATGTAATGAACATACAAAAGCTACAACAACACCAACTCCTTTTATCTCGAGAAAAACTAAATATAACATAATATCTGTTACCTTTATCTACATTTAATAGGTTTATTACTTTGAATTTGCAAAACCCATTTTTTTTTAATTCCTCAATTTTAGGAAATTTGTGAAGATGGATGTGTGTATTTTTGTTGAGACCTTTGCGCCTACTGCCACTTAAACATCCATCAATAACACAAAGAGGCATTTTAAATTATATTTAAATAAACAAAATAAATATACTCTTTATACAGTCTTCATAGTTAATTATTCTCTACTTTAGTTCTATTTATTATATACATCATTTAAAAACTAAAGTTTTGGCGGGTATATAATTTCCTGATAAGATATAATTTATAGCCAATCATAGGCGGAGAAAAGCTATCGCCATTTCTGCGCATTCGATTCATAAACTCGTATTTTGACATCATACCTATCTATTTTGACATGGTTATTTTTAAGATCTTATAATAAAATTTGCTTATAAATTCGCATCTGAAATTTCTAATAGTATTTTATTTGGAATAGGTTTTAATATTAGTTTGTGTAATAAGCATTTTTTTTATGTGATGCACCAGATGTCGCTTAGCAAACAATTTGCTACCCGCCAAGTACTGCGCTAACTTTTGTAATTAATATAATTGCTTAGTCATCAAACTATATCAATTATAAGTGCGCTGACTCGAACAGTCACTTACAGAATTCTAATCGAAAAGTCTAAAGCTCAATCACGCTGTAACCGCTCGACCAAGTATATTTTTCAGAACTTAAAATTAAAAGTAATCATCTTTAATTTTCATCGTCGGTAAATTAACTGTTTCCAATGGATCGCCAACATTCACTATTGTTTGCTTTGCTATTTTGCGTTAATACCTTGAACGTATACGCAGCCATGGAACCGTATTGCAGAGGACAATCGCTTCAAAATGATTACTATAATTTTTTGAAAAAATTGCCCATGGGATACACAATTCCCCAACTAAGCACGACTGAAGATATGGCTGGGACCGTTGAAGTCATAAAAAAAAACACAGTGTGTGGAATTCAAACAATATGCCTTTCGATAATGCGCATCACGGCGGCAAAGAACACGTCCGTCATCGATGCACATACTTTGAGAACTAGGATTTCTTCGTTTCACAAAATTCCTCGCATCATGATGGTGATACTTTACAACATCAACGCCGTTTATGCCGACCATGTCCTTTATCCGATATGGATGTTTTATTTGTACGTTCATGACATTTTCTCCTATTGGAATCATTTCGACAGCGTACAAATGTCTAAAGTACACGAAATGATAACCGAACAACTGCTGACGTCTATGGAAGGCTGTCCGGACCACAACGAATTCGACGTGAGCGATCAAGAATCCCGTTTATATTCCGATTACCGTGATTTTCTAAACCCGACCACTTCCTCCGAATCTAGCATGTTTTCGAACATGCACGGACACCTAAGCCAACACTTCGATGTGATTCGTCAGACCCTGATTGAGGCCACTGAAGAAAACTACTGTCTAATCGACATCAGGAGATTGTTCTTTAACACAGATTCATTTCTATGGGATGACGGTGAAATGTGGAACTATCAACCGTTGTACGGCAAAAACATTCGATGGGGCGACGCGGGTTCAAAGCTTTTATATGCTTACATGCAGGCCAAAAAGCCTACCATCCTGTATGATGGATTGCAAGGCATAAAAAACTTTCACCAAGTATACATGACCCAAATTAAAATGGTCAAGTTGCGATTGTTATGGACTCACTTGTTGTTGGTCACCGAAGAAAACCGAACGGAAGTGAACGCTAAAATGTACGAGACGGCAAACTCTTTCGCCATGGTAACCGGTTTGAAAGACGACAAGGCCTTTGTCGCAACTATCGATTTCTTAAACGTCGAAAATCCTTCGCCAGAAGATTACCAGTCAGCTATCGAAGATATTAGATCACAACTGATTCACAGCTGTTTGTTGTTTATAGGCTGCGACGCCACGAATGCCGTCGGTGAAAACGTTTCTGAGACTTTTGACGAAGTAAGCATGTTTATTAATAAGTACTACGCTAGGAGAACGAAAGAAGTGGAGTATAAAGACGAAGCGAAAAAGCCACTGATCGATCCCAGTGATGTACAGAAAAATCTCAAGTTAGCTATACTGTTTTTAAAACATGTCGTATGTTTACTGAATGATACCGACATGGATTTCATAAAATCAGTTTTAGAGTTGGCTTATACAATTCCTAAAGATTTCTGATTGCTAATATATTGTATTTGTTCAATATGGTATCCAAGAAAATTACCTAATAATTTTAAGTTCACATAAATTATATTACAGAGCATATAAGTTTATTGTGAATACACCGCCTCGTGGCTTCAATAATACATTATGATGATATTAAATGTAATATATACATATACTTAATAATTAATATACATTTTAATATTACTGTGGTATTATAAATCAATCCATACGTGTACATTCTTATTCTTGTGTTCGTCGAATATATAAGGAATAATACCAAACCATTCAAATGAAGGCGCAGTCTCTTTCCAAAGTTAGGTACTTACAAATCCGATTTGAAAAAAAATTTTTTTTATAACATTTGACTAACAAATTTGTAATTGTTAAAGTTGTGGTATAAACGTTTATATATTAACTTTTTTATCATCTCCTAACTGGTTTCCACCTGTATGTAATGTATAACAGGGTTTGCGTGAATCTATACTATAGAAGCAGAGAATTGTAACTGTGCTTGCGTGGGAATTTTTAGATTTATCAAATATTTTTAAATTCATTAATGTTTAAAGAAAAACTATTAAACTAGTTTATTGTGTAATCAAAACATTTAAAAACGGTTAAGTACAGCGATAGAGTTTTCCTCTAGTTACTGTGAAAATTTGGTGATTTTTACAACAATTATATTCTATTTAGATGAAAAACAATTGTAATTTCCTTTACAGAAATGTCAAATTACTGTGATAGTCTGACAAAAACGGAGTTTTAACAACACCGTAGAAGTATTTTTTATGGAGTTCATGAGCGTTTTGGATTTGTCAACAACAGCGATCTCGGGTTATTTTTTACACTTGCAACAAATATTTTGCTTGCCGTTTGTCAATGCAATGTTAACAAGTTTCTTTAAACACAATAATAAAATAACTACAATGATAAAATTGAAATCTAAGAAAATATTATTCACATACGTGTTTGCAAACAGCGGATTAGAATAAAAACATTAGACAATTTAAAAAAAATGTAATCGCAGTACAGGTTTTGTAGAACATAATAGTATATTTTATAAGCGTGTACCCAATATAGTAGTGTGATACCTAATATAAAGAGGTTTTTTTTTTTTTGGAAAAATGAACACGTACTTCATTTTTTTACTTTTAATCCTATATTCGAAAGTTTACAGCGAAGAACTAATATCATTAGCGGCTAAATTGGACCGAGAGGACATCGTCAAAATCTTAAATGACAAAGAAGTAAAATGGCGTCAAGTTTTAAATCAAAGTATTTTATACAGCGATAAATATCATGCTCTACAAGTTTACATTGAGAACAATGACCATACTACCGGTAAAATAGACGAATTTAATGTCCTCGGCGTTCTACAGAAATTCGACGAAGATAATGATTGGGATAAGAAGATAAGTATCGATGATATACGTGGCCTAATTCAAGACGCTACCAAATGTGCCGGTTTGACGAATACTAACTTGTTTGCAATGTTAATACTCAACGACTTTCTACCATTCTTGCATGTTTTGATCGACAGAAATAAACCGTTCACAATAAATGATTTTTTCGGTCTAACTCTAGATGAAAAAGATGCGTCTGAGGAAAAAATCAACGAGGGCTGTGATCACGACCCTGAAATTCTGAGTTTACCGCCTAAATTGGACAGACATAAAGAAAATTGTGAAACTTCAGAAGCTAAAAATATGGGGAAAAACACAATAATCCGCTCAAAAGTCTACGATAAATATCATAATATGAATTTCAGTATAATAACAGAACAGGGTAGTATTAAATTAAATGGAATGGGCAAGTTACTCGAAAATAAATTGGAAATTAATTCTACATGGAAAAGAATACTACGCAATAGAACTTCCCTAGATATTAGTTACCGTATTAATCAAATGGAATTTAATTCAGCATTTAATCCTCGTGGGACGGTCAACCCCGTTGTCGTCAATTTGTACGAGATTATACTTGTTCTTATTTTTACAATACAAATCACTGACGCAAAATTGGAGAAAACTTGCGTGACTCATGGTGGCTGTTTTGTAAAAAAATACAAATCCTTGACTGAAGAACTCGGTTATGAATTCGACCAGTTTATCGAGGATTTAAATGAAAATAAAATGACTGATTCTAAACGGAACTTGTATACCAATTTGTTGGCACAGATGGCCGATACATTAAATAACATTGTTAAGAAATGTGATAAACTAGCTGACGTTTTTCCTTGCACCCCATTTTTCATACAACAAGCTAGATTTGAAGACATAAATACCACAGTTTGTTTGGACATTACGCATGACAAAGAAGCAGAAGATTATAGGTAATATACATATAAAAAAATCCTACCGTGTATTTTTTTATTGAGCACTTAGGTATAATAGACTTATAACCACTTTACCCATACAGCATAACAATGACACGTATAAAATGATTTTTTTTTTTTTGGGTAACTTTAGTTCCAATTCTTAAGTTTAATATAATTAGAAAAAAATATTAAAATTACTAATTTTTTCATCTCAGTTATAGTATTGAAAATATTTTTCTCGCATATTTAGTTGTTTTTTATTTGCAGAGGACAATCGCTTCAAAATGATTACTATAATTTTTTGAAAAAATTGCCCATGGGATACACAATTCCCCAACTAAGCACAACTGAAGATATGGCTGGGACCGTTGAAGTCATAAAAAAAAACACAGTGTGTGGAATTCAAACGATATGCCTTTCGATAATGCGCATCACGGCGGCAAAGAACACGTCCGTCATCGATGCACATACTTTGAGAACTAGGATTTCTTCGTTTCACAAAATTCCTCGCATCATGATGGTGATACTTTACAACATCAACGCCGTTTATGCCGACCATGTCCTTTATCCGATATGGATGTTTTATTTGTACGTTCATGGCATTTTCTCCTATTGGAATCACTTCGACAGCGTACAAATGTCTAAAGTACACGAAATGATAACCGAACAACTGCTAACGTCTATGGAAGGCTGTCCGGGCCACAACGAATTCGACGTGACTGATCAGGAATCCCGTTTATATTCCGATTACCGTGATTTTTTAAACCCGACCACTTCTTCCAAATCTAGCATGTTTTCGAACATGCACGGACACCTAAGCCAACACTTCGATGTGATTCGTCAGACCCTGATTGAGGCCACTGGAGAAAACTACTGTATATTCGACATCAAAAACTTGTTCTTCAACACCGATGCATTTCTATGGGTTGACGATGAAATGTGGGAATATCGACAGTTGTACGGCAAAAACATTCGATGGGGTGACGCGGGTTCTAAGTTTTTATACGCTTTCATGCAGGCCAAAAAGCCTACCATCCTGTATGATGGATTGCAAGGCATAAAAAACTTTCACCAAGTATACATGACCCAAATTAAAATGGTCAAGTTGCGATTGTTATGGACTCACTTGTTGTTGGTCACCGAAGAAAACCGAACGGAAGTGAACGCTAAAATGTACGAGACGGCAAACTCTTTCGCCATGGTAACCGGTTTGAAAGACGACAAGGCCTTTGTCGCAACTATCGATTTCTTAAACGTCGAAAATCCTTCGCCAGAAGATTACCAGTCAGCCATCGAAGATATTAGAACACAACTGATTCACAGCTGTTTGTTGTTTATAGGCTGCGACGCCACGAATGCCGTCGGTGAAAACGTTTCTGAGACTTTTGACGAAGTAAGCATGTTTATTAATAAGTACTCCGCTAGGAGAACGAAAGAAGTGGAGTATAAAGACGAAGCGAAAAAGCCACTGATCGATCCCAGTGATGTACAGAAAAATCTCAAGTTAGCTGTACTGTTCTTAAAACATGTCGAATGTTTACTGAATGATGTCGACATGGACTTCGTAAAATCGGTTTTAGCGTTGGCTTATACAATTCCAATGGATTTCTGATTGTAAATTAATGATTTATGATGCATTTAGGAAAATTACCTAATAATTTTAAGTTTACATAAAATATTTTACAGAGCACATAAGTTAAGTTTATTGTAAATGCACCGCCTCATGGCTTCAGTAATAACTAATACATTATGATAATATTAAACGTAAAATATACATATACTTTATAATTAATATACATTTAAATATTACAGTTTTATCCCATATGCGTACATTCTTATTTTGTATTAACTCACATCAGCAATAATTATTTTTTTTGGTGTATTTTAGGGTGGATACGAACAGGTATTCCCGGGTCACTATGTTGTATATAGAGTAGAAAGGGTTGTCTCCTCGTTGGTGTTAAAAAACCATTATTATTTCGATATATTTTAAGTTTTTTTGAATTGATGAATTACCCCAATAATAAATATGTTGTTTAGACAATTATTTTACTAGAAATAACATAATAGTAATAAAATTACCACTTTAGAGAATCTTGGTATACGGCCATCTAACGCGGCCACCTTTAATTTTTCAAAATTTATTCCTTTGTCATCTTTACCTAGAAATCACCACATCATACAAAAAAATAAAATAAAATGTTTTAGAGCATTTTTTTGGAAAAAAATACTATTATATTTAATTTACATAATTTTCTATTTTTTTTTTTTTTTACTTAAAATAGTTACTATAATATGATTTTTTTTAAAATTATTAAGTGTACCTAATCGTGATTACCTCCGCTATTCTTAAATTTAATCCCGTATTCTTTTATTACAGCCTGGAATTCAACTTTGTCATCGTTTGAATAAAATGTATCTAAGTCATTGAAGGTAACGTAACTACTGTCGCCATGTCTTAACTCGTTCCATAGATCTTCTATTTGCTAAATAATGGTAATAAAATAATACAAAAAGTGATTTATTTTGCTTTTAAAAACAAATATAGGTCGATTTAAGTCAGTAAAATACATTTTTTTTTAAACTTATATAAAATTGTTTATAAACCCCACGAGGATTTGATCTTGATAAAACTTCCTATTCCCAGCATAGGATTACGGTTTTTATGTAATTCTGTAATTTTTAATAATTCAATAGACAAATATTTGAAAAATATTAAATGTTTGTTATTTTAATACAAATTTGGTATCAAAGTACTATAATTTGTCAATTGAGTCAAGTGGGAGTGGGATATAAAAATCTCCTTCTTATTCTTTATCTTCGCCTTACAATTCCAACTACATGGGGTTCGGCCACCCTAGTCCTACAACCTCCATAGAGCTCGATCTTCTACATCTATAATTACCCCAGCTATCTTCTTTCTCTTCCTCTCTTTCCCTCTACATTCATCTTCATAACATCTCTTCTCATTGCCTCTGTCTCATCTCTTCTCATAACTTGACCAAACCATTTCAACCTATTCTCTCTCGTTTTCCCTACAATTGATGCAATTCGACTACTCTCCCTTATGTATTCGTTTCCTATTCTATCCTCCCTATTCACTCCACTCCACAGTCCACTCATCCGTCTTAGCATTCTCATTTTAAGACGGAGCGGGATATAAAACAATAAAATATTATTTAATTTTGTTAAAAACAATAACAGTGATAAGTTAAAATTCTATGTACGAATTATTTTTTACTAAATTACAATTACCTTATCATCGATAGAAATTACTGTTTGAACACAATAAAATAATACAACTGAAATTCATTTTTAAATTTGTTATTTTCCGTAATAATGAAAGTTACCAATCTTTATATAAACTTTTAAACTAATTGCAATCTATCAAATAAACAATTTGTATAGGTACCTACTTAATAAAAGCCCTTTTATAATAAATTGAGTTTAACTACTATTTATTTTTTATATATTAAAATATATTTTATGTATGAAGTACTTCGCACTACTATTTAATGCACATCCAAACAAAGAGAAAAACATTTTATTTGTGAATATGACTTTCATACTCTATTCATTTTGGTAAAAAAATTACTTTGACCTAGACTTTTGACAGAAAAGTAATGAACAACAGCAATTGTTTTGTATTTACCTTTACAAACATAACATAAGAATCTAGAGCACTGTACTGTCTTTTTTGAAATGTAGACGACAATCATATTTATTTACTTCATTTCATAGCCATAAAATCACTTTAAAAAAAAAAACGATACGATGCCAGGTGGTAAAAGTACAAAAGTCAATAACTACATGGTAGAAGCTACAATGTGCTAACAATTATTTGTTGAGTATTGGAGGGATATGATTAAGGATAATAATTATCCGTAATTTGTTGCCGTTGTTCTTGTAATTAATACATCATGGAAATATTTTTCGGATATCCGCTGATTCACTTTAAAAAGAAATGTTGATTCTTAATAAAAAAGATATAACGCGCGCTGTAATTGTTAAAAAAAATATAATACGCATTTTTTTGGATGGTTTTTTTCCGATTTTTAAGGGAAGGAGTGAACAAAGTACCTATCAGGTACAATTGTTGATTACTACACAAAAAATCGGTTTAATGGTTTAAGATTTCGTAAGTATGGGAACAAAAAACAAACAAAAATACTACTACTATAAGACTACTGTATTTTTATTGATGTAACCATTGGAAACTAAAACCCATATTGTATAAAAAACTCACTTTTTAATATTTAATATCCCCTTGTGGTGATTATTAGAACCAACGACTGACGAGTACTACAGACAACACAAACAAAAAATATGTTTGGTATCAAAAATATAATTTGTCATTTATTTTGTATACAATAAACCGTTGGCGGGCAGAAAAAAATTATTTTGAAAACATTTTTACGATATTATTGAAAAATCGATTTTATGCCTTGCTGTCTGTGTTGCCATTAATTAACACTACACTTCGTATTAGTGCATTGTGCTTGCAATAATGTATTTCAAATAGTATTTTTTAAGTTAGACTGGATACAATTAGGGTTAATTGCCAGTATATAGTAATTTGTTGCCACGTTAGGCTTATCCCCGCCAAATTTTGAATTGAGTTCTTAAAACATGGGTGCCATCAGTTAATTTGTTCAGTCGTCCAACGTTTGTCTTAAAGTAAAATAGTAATATATTTTGACATTCAGACGCAGTTTTTAGGAAAAAAGTGGATTCTATAAAAATTTTTGATAAACAAAACTTCAGTTATATAAGATAATGTATTTTCTTTTTAAATTTTTTATTTGACCTTAAATTTCACAATACTGTTTCATATTAAAAATTAAAAAAAGATACAATGTATTTAAAAAAGAAAACTAATGACAGATGAAGATTTAATAAGATTAAATTACAGAATTAGTTACAATTGTTATTTGTTTCCATCATTTGCAATTTTGTCTTTTTTTTCATACATTTAGTGTTTCGAGTAAAACACAATACTCATATACATACAGACTAGAATTACTAGTGTTATTTATATATATTAAATGAACATTAACATATCAGAAACTCGTTTGGAAAAAATAAATACATTAACATTGCTTTTGTTTTACTGGTTTTAGTATAATTTCTACAACAAATAAATTGAAAATTAAACAAATAAATGTCACCTTAAAATTGTTTTTTGACGCGAAATTTGTGATGTAAAAAATTACATGTACTATAATAAATAATGATCTATACTTAAATGAATAGAATAAAAGAAAAGCATGCTGTGAAAAAAAATGGTATTTTAGATACTCAACATGGGCCTAAATTTTATAAATTAAGAATTATCAAATAGCTAAAAGGCTAAAGGAAAAAATAAAAATAAATTAACGATCAACACCCCACAATAATAATGCACTTTTTACGACATATATATTCAATGACTTTGCCTTTAAATGCAGACAACGTTTAAAACATCCACTTAAGATATGCACGACATTTTTTGCTTAGCTGTTTCGGTCTCAACAGCACAAAAGTTGAGCATTATTTTGGAAATAAAATTTTTTTTTTATAGTTATTTATGAACGACAATCGCACTGCGCTGACCCAACGCTGTAGTTTTGCTCACGATACTCATTAGGTATTGCATGATCAAATGATTTGTCGTAATAATAATATTAAATGTTTCAATCCCCAGTCGGCACTACCAAGTGCCTATGATTTTCATTATTCACACCCACGGCGTCCAGCCTTCGTACAGCAGCGCCAAGTTATCATTGCTGGTAGCCTCGTTTATCACCCAATTGACCTGTTTGGACAAATGATGCTGTTAGATTTCCAAAAATTTAAAACAAAACAAATATCAGTAATATTTTCTAGTTATATTACCTGTTCAGTGACTGTCGATCTACGACCTAAATCCGGATCCCTTCCTTCCAACTTCATTCTGACTCGACGCCAAACACTCACGGCATAAGCGTTACATTTTTGAACGGCTAAATCAAAAACAGAGGGCCACATATTATAGACAGAACTTGATCTCAATGTGTTTGCAGTTATTATTTTATTTTTTGCTCTTTGTTTTACACAACATTTTATACAAATTATGTTAAAATAACTACTTATTTTTTTTTTTACGTTTTTATTAAAACATATTAATTAAAGAAATTAACTAATTAAAAATTACAAATAAAATTATTCGAATAATCAATTATTTTTTTAACCGAATAAATTTTATTTAAATTCAAAAATATATTATAATTTTGAACCATTCGTACTTTTACAAATTTACTATCACAAAATTAAAAAAAAAATCTGAAAGCGTTTTTTCAAAAAAAAATAGTTGACAATTATGGTTGTTAATTTAAAAAAAAATATAATGAAATTTGTTTTATTAGTCTTTTCTATACTTTTTTTTAGTACATTATTAATGATTATTAGGTCATCAATTCTGGGCTCCGATTGTAAAGAATTATTTATGCATACCTTTTCCTGTATGTGGATCTCTCGGTAGTCCTTTTCTTGGCGACAAGCAAATACTATCTTGGCGGACTAGCGGCGGACGCTTATTTTGTTTAACGAGTAAGCCTTTTTCACCCAAGATGGTCAACAAATCATCATATATAAGAGCTGACGACAAAAAATAAAAAATAAATTATACCTAGAATGTGGTGTCTTAATAATATTAGCAGCAGTATTATGACTTACGTGTTTTCTTTAGTAACGTCTGAACAGTTTCTAGTAAAATCTGCATTGGTTGCATAGTCAGTTCATTGGGAGTGGTCAATTGGTCGACAAAAGACATCATTTGCTCTAAATAAGCACAATACTTGGCCAAGTAGTTTATACTCGCTGTGCCCACATTGTCAATCTATGTAAGTAACAAAGTCACAGAAATGATAGTTAAAATGAATTAATCCAAAAAACTATTGTTTAAACAAGTGAACTCACTTTTGATAATGATTTCAATAACACTCTAACATCGGATATGATTTTGTTATGCAAATTCAACGTGGATTTGAGTATATTTGTTTGGTCGTTGATTGATTTTTGGATTAAATTAATTTCCGATTTTAACGGCTCTTGGGCAGCTATCAGTTGTTGGACGTTGTCTATAACAGCAACATAACAACACAATAGTTAATACCATAACTATAAAAAAAAAAATCCCCTAAACAAAATATAACATTCTAAATTACCTGAAATAACACTGACAGCATTGTTCAACCAGGACCACTCGATTGGTCCTTGTGGGATTGGAACTATTTTGATAAGAGTTTCTTCTTCAGGCGTTATTGTTATTCCAATATTAGAAACCATGTAACACGCTTTTTGATAATCTTCCACCAACTATACAAATAATAATAATAAACTGTTGCTTATCTACTATCAAAGTAAATGGTTTTTTTTCTTTTGGAAAATAATTGTTACTTGTAAAAACGAAATGTCAGCAGAGATAGCTTCCGAAGTGCGTGTAAGCAACGATTCGGTTTGAAGCAACGAGTTAATCACAGTTAGTATAGTTGAACATAAACTTTGGTTGCCATCGATGATCATTTTTTCGTGTTTCATTCTATCTTCAAAATTACTTGTTATCTAATAACAAGAAATTGTGTAACGACAAAGAGGTAACAACTTAAGAAGTGAAATATATACTTACTTCAGCAACAGAAGGATTTGCACCAGAAGCCCATTTTAGCCGCTGCTCAACAGTGGTCATCAGTGAACTTCTATGCTCCATTTGCTCCATGATTTGTGACTGAATAACGGCCAGTGGCGATAGAATATTGTTTAATTCCGTAAGAATTGCTGTTCGATCTGTATGACACGCGTCAAAGACAATAAATTTATTATACGCTAAGAGAGTAATTTTAACTGCAATGGCTACAATTTTAACTAGAGGCTTGTTAGACTTTTGTACCAAGTGCAAGTTTTAAGAGTTAAAATCTTACAATCAGAACTTTTCCAGAAAAAATACAAAAGCCAAAAGGGGGAAATGATTTTGTGTGGAATACCCCATTTAAATTAAGCAGAACTATAGTCTTAGCTTTTTCAAGACTAACTTTAATGAAGAAATACTATCAAAATTGGTCTGACTGACCCCATTTGTATAAATTTTATCGTAAAACCAGCGAGAAACTCACCCGGTATAAATATTTTGTCTATAAGTCCCGTAGAGGGAATTGCGTGTAACCAACAGTGAGCAGCATATTGTAATGCTAATCGTTGAGCGCTGTTATCAGACTGATGAACTCTTATTCTCAGATGATTGCGCAACTCGGACTTTCTCCATGCGTCTTCTAATTTAGTCAATACCGACGACAGGTCCAGCGATTGATTGCGATTAAATTTTCCGACTTTAATTCCTTCTTCTATACATTTTTTACACAGTTCTTCCAAAGGCACTTTACTGTCGGCGCCAATATCTCTTTTTTCCAACTCAGCTGTAATAACGGAGAAAAAAATTATTAAAAAAATGTCAGTAATGTAACAGCCTTACAATCTTACCGTTAATGTTGAACCCAGTGTGTTGCAACAAGAAACCAATAGTCAAAGCTACCGTGTGCGAAAACAATCCCAACAGCCGTTTTGTTAAATAATCGGCGGCGAAACATCGTACGGGTTTCGATATGACCTCTTCGTTATTTTGAGAATAACTTATTCCTTGAGAATTCCTCCCTCCGAAATTGATAGCTATTTCAGCACACATATTAAACACCTCTTTCATGGTTAGAAGTGCTTTCAAGAACATTATATCATCTAATATACTACAAGGTCCGTCATCCATTACAGCTCCCTTTAAAAATAAATTGATGACAAGTTTAAAGAATACCATTTACTTACAATCATATTTTTTACTAATACTCATACAAGTAAGGATTTCGCTTCTCTAATTTGATCAACCGTCTTCCAGGAAGTGGGAATCTTAAGTTTGGAGTGTGCTTTGATAAAATTGTCATTAGCTAAAGTGACGTCTTCGAATAAGCCGTAAAAGCCGACCAAAAGCTTTTCTCCTTGAGTCAGAACGGATTTGTCTTGTTTTTTGATAAGATCGTAAAATTGATTTCGAACATCTCGCACAACTGTTTGACAACCTTCATTTGGAGACTAAGAGAAACAAAAACCAAGTTTTACAAAACAATATTTGTGATTAGTTATAACAAACCAATTACCTTCATTCCCATAATAACGTGTCTGAGATGCACGTTGAGTTGTTCTATCAAGTCATTGACATCTATTGTGCAATTATTGATAATATTGTTCAACTCAGTAATGATCGTTATAGTACTAGGTTCTTCAACACATAATTTTTTTATAGTTTCCGGCATAATGATATCGACAAAGTTGAAGTTTATTTTCTTCATAAAAGTGTTTCAAAATTAGTATAAGAAAATATTTCTTGTTGTATTTAATTAAAGTAACTTACTTGTAAACTACAATAAAGACTTTGGACCGTACGTAAACAATTGAAAGCCAAAGACAAATCTGTGTCGACTTGAACGTTTTTGTTATTACTGTCGGAAAGTACTGAAGACACCATTCTAACAGCGATAGTCGTAGTCATGTACATATCGACCAAAATCCATTCTCCGTCTTTGGAAGTCATGTCCAATATTCGAGTTCCCGCATCTAAAACAAATATAGACATTGGGATTATGATTGAAGTCTATGATATAATTTACGTAAGTTGACAATATTTACTTGACGCGGACGTTTCCATCATTAAAAACTTTTTATTAATCGCGCAAAGGTTTGTGGCAATAACAATTTCTAAACCGTTATTAGAGTTCTCGTTAAATTTCACCAGAGGGTTTTCATCGTTTAACAGTGCACACATTCTCTCGACTTCGGTTTCAACTGATCTAAACTGTTCGATAAGTTTAGCTGTACGCTGGCTAGCATCCGATGCCGTTTGCTGCAACTTCATATTATAGGCCACTGTCTGGGGCGTCGGTGGTTCAGCATTTGGAATACCCAGGTACAAAATTTTATGTTCTTCTTTGACTTGTTCACACATTGCGATCGTTGGACAATCCACAAGTAGCCGCAACCATTGACGATAGTAGGTCAGACGGTGATTTCGCACGTGAGATTTTGGAAACAAGTTGGCCAAGCACTGTACATCATAGAGCATACGTAAACAAAGAGTGAGGAATTTATTTTGTTGTCGACACAAAAGCGTAATATCGTCATTGGATTGCATACACTGTAAAAAATTCATACATTTTTAAATATATCTAATTAATGATTATTTTCTGAAAAAATAAAAAAATTACTTGTTCAATTAAACTTGTTTGACCGGCATTCTGTAAAAATTCTTTTACGTCTTCTTGTAAAAGATAATTGAATACGTGACGCGATTTTGAATCTTCTTTTTCGATAATTTTACGAATTTGGCTAACAGCAATATAATGCATGGCCATTTCATATTGTGACAACCTTGAATCGCAATCTTCTATTTTCTGTCTCAACGACATGGTTGAACCAATCATCATATTTTGCGTTTGCTGCAATGTAAAATAACGTTCCGGAAGTTTATACAACGGATGTTGGCCGACTGGAGACGCTTCAGCTTCTTTAACCAACGCCATCAGTTGATGGCTCTCGGCCAACCCTTCTTCCATCTTTTGCAATTTTGCGCGTACCATCAAATAATTATTAATACTTTCATTTATACTCGACAAAGACGCTAACATATTTTCTCTAGAAAACAAATATAAACTTTAAGTTAAGTAAATTATTTAATAAAATTTATAATAATTGTTAATTATTGTTAAAATATTGGTAAAAACAACATAGCTTTAGTAATTATACAAATTAATTACCTATTATCCAACCAGTCGTGTTTAGCTTCTGTAATGCGGACGTTGAGCATTGCCAGAGTTATTTCTTTTTCCAATTGTCTCCTGTTCATTCTATTTTCTTTGACTAAGGTACGACCGCCGCCATAAACAGCGCCTGTGTAGCCCGTTTCATTACCAGGTGTCCAATCAATAAGCGGATCATATACAAACGCTTCTAACAACGTCAATAGGGTTTCTTTGTTTTTTCTTAATACTTTCATCACTTGCTCACATGTCAAACGAAATTTCCCCTAAGAAAATTAAATTGGAAAAAATAAAAACTCATGTATTACAGAATTTAAAACAAAATTAATAATGACAAATCATTTTTTTTTCTAAATATACAGTATTTTACCTCGACTCCCGTAACGCCTAACGCTTCTTTCAAGTTTTGAGTCAATCGAAAAGGTACTTTCTCAGGAACGCGTAACGTTTTACCTTTTTCAAAACACACATTGTAATCGATGTGGACCACCTTGAGCAAAATAAAAAACAAATTTTAGTGACTTATTTTCAAACATTCAATAAAGTACTGACTTCACCACTTTGTAGATTAACAAGCACGTTATCCAAATGACGATCGCCCAATCCAATAATGTAACCAATTATCGACATCACAGCCAATGATGTTGCATAGAGTGATGTCGATTGCCACCATGACCCCGAATCAACACTTTGTGTCCATAATTCGCTTTAAAAAATAATTAACACAATTTGTTTAATATAATATGCTTAAATACATTATATTTATATATATATAATGAAACATACTTGGAAAGTAAATTTTTGGGCGTTTCATTCATCAGAGATATTAAGACTTCTTTGAGGATATTTAACGGCCATTCTTTTCTGCTGTCCATATTAGATATACCGTTTTCTTTTAATAGTGGTGCCAATTTTGAGTTGAATAATTCTGAAGGACGCATTATCACTCCTGTAACAATTTAAATTAAAATTTAACATAATCATAATGTGTCACCAAGTATATATTCTCACCGTCGTTATTGGAAGCCTGTCTTTGTTGCCATCGTTTGTACAACATAAATATGGGTACAACACCGTCGACCCAAGATATCAAACCCGATCTCGGTCCTAATGGTATGACCGGATAATGGTGGGCTCGATATTTTTCGCAAGACCCACTGAGTAGCGTGTTTGTGATGCACAACAATTGCATTATACGTTCATCCAAATGAAGATCTTCCAAGCCTTTAAACAAGTAAGTGTACACTTTTCCGTCAGACCCGTAGAATATAAGTTTCTTCGGTTTGGTGAACGTAGGCAAAATGGCCACACTGTTGTTAATGGAAGCAACGGTGACGACTCGCTCCACTCCCGGCATAGCTATTTTGGTGTCTTTGAGATTGGCTAGAACTGGACTGATAGTGTCCATCTTTAACGAATATGACCCTCGCTTGCTTATACGAGCCTGAAGATTACTTTGTAAATTTTTAATTGACTTCCATACGTCTTGTACATTAATATTTGACGAATCCGCGGGTCTACGTAGTTTATCCAACATGTGTGTAATATAAGAACCTAAAATTCAATTTAGAAATTAATAACCTTACATAAAGTTAGTTTCAAATACTGATACCCCTTACAATAACTAAAACATTTAAACTTCTTAACCAAGACTTGGACGTTTGCTTTTTCTGGCAAAGACTAATATGTTTATCTACACAAACCAAGTGTGTTTTTGTCATAACATGTAACGTGTAAGTTTTGGTAAGGACACTTAAATAATTTTGTTTTAGTAAGAGGCGTCAAAAATATTACTCACCAAACTTGTCTTGAAACCATTCTTCATGTGGCGTTTCAGCTTTGATAGATGTGATTGCGTGCAATTGTTCAAATATAAAGAGAATCTACAAAAACGATGTCAAATATGTACAGATATAAAATTTGTATACAAATATTATATTTACTGGTCTGAGTAATATTGTGTATTTTTCAATAGCGATGTGTTCTTTTTCAGAGTCTGAAAGATGGGGATGATTTTCAGTCTTGCACAACTCGGTTTCTAGTTGACTAATACGCCTGCCTATGTCAGCCTGCCTTTGTGTCAATGTTCCCAGCCATAGTTCGTCCCACAGTAATGTGATTCTACGCAATTCCGACACCAAAACTCGTACTTCAGTGATCATTTCTCCGGCCTACACACAACAATCGCATAATGATTAAAAAAAATGTTTAAAAAAACCAACCGTTAACTGATTTAAAACCTGTTTTGATAATGTGTTGACCATGGAATGAAAACAATCTTCTAAAACAATAGCTTGTTCGTCTTGCCCAATTTTCAAGTCCTCGTCATCGTCTTCATCGATTTTCATTCTGTCCAAATCTTCGCCAACCGAATTAGTTTCATCTCCTATTTCTTTGCACGTTTTTAGAATACTCGATGACGGCATTTCATTTATAGTCCTAAGACCGGTATCAGAGCCCACTACTGCTGGAAATGTAATCAAATGTGGTACATCGATAGCGAGTCTACAAAGCAGTTCAGACACGGTGCGCCTAACGTAAGGTTCTGGATGCGATAGTCTCGAAAATAGTTGAGGTATAATAGATCGCCACGGTTTTGTTGGAGTGTTGCTCAATCCTTCTTCCAACGAGCCTTGCAGTTCAAGAGCGTGTTTGACCGTGAGACGTAATAGTCTTAGAGTGGCTGCAATTGATTCTTCCTAAACACACACAAGAATAGAATGAAAATGAAAATATTGTAACATATTATATATATTTTTTTTTAAATCAAACTATTTTTCATTTTTTTATGACTTTCAATATATTATTATTAAATTGATTACTTGATGGTTGTCACATAGTTGCAGAAATTTAAAGTAAGCCTGAGCAGATAGTTGATAATAGCCGTAAATTCGTGAATGTGATTTCCTCCACCAGTCAATGAGTCCAGCTAACTCATCTTCCTCAAAAGAAAGAACATTTTGTAGTTGATATTCTATCATTTCAGTGGTATAAATATTTTCACTCTACAAATAATAAATAATCACACAATAACATTTTAGTATAAGTATAAAATAATAATTAATTATACAACACAAATAATCATACTCCTATATCGTCATCATCTTGTTGTGGCGGAGACGATGTTAAAACATTGAGAATTTCGTACACTTTTTCTCGATCTTCTATTGTAGCACTCGAAGGAATATAAGCATCTACTTTAGCCATTTCTGAATCATTTAATAAAAAGGTGTTACGCTTGTACGCTTCGTCCACAACTTTGCGTCCCAACTTGTAACACCAGCCCGCCAATTCGTTCCACGCTTTTGCCATGGTTGGACAATATGACACAGATATTCTCAATAGTTGACCGATCATCAAAGTATGTTTGTCCAAATTGTTTACTAACGTATCATCACATTCTAGAATTGGATAATATTACGATGTTAGGACTTTGTGTCAGTCGTCACATAATTAAATTTAATGTTAAAATTTTTTAACTTACTTATAACTTCACGAATGAGTTGACCAGTTTTTGATAAATTATCGTTAGAAAAATTTAACAAAATGTTTGATTTATCTAGCGAAGACGTAATCAAGGATTTATCTGAAAAACTATGATTTCCCAAATTTAACCATTTCCCTAATGTTATCAACATTCGTGCACTCTGTTCTTTGAGACAACTATTATCATCTATTTGCGCTTGTTCTAATAATTTAAATCCAGATTTCATACACATTTCTATTCCCAAATCTTGAGAAACACACCTGTAAATAAAAAACAACATGTATATAAAAAAAATTGACCTTTAATTTTGTAATAAATGTACAAGTGTATTTACCGATGAACTAATTTGGAAAACTGTCGTACGACTATAGCATGATTTTGAGGCCATGATGTCGCCTTGGCGTCATCTACGAGATGTTCGCCGATTCTTTGCAGAAGTGTGGAAACAGACTCTGATTTATTATCCGACATAGTATTGGATAAATCTATGAAATCGTAAGCTTTGGTTGATCGTAAATATTGAAGCATTCCTCGAGTCGCTAAATTGACATTACCCTCTTTCCGTGCTATGACTGCCAGCTAAAAATAAAAATAAATACAATTTTAAAAAGATTGTATGGTTGATTTTTTAATAAATATAATAACCAACACAAATTTACCTTTAAATACAAGTTTGAGACATCACATTTAGAATCTATTTTTTTGTGATTGCTGTATGATTTATTTTCAAGGATTTTTGTCCAAAACAAAGTCTGGCTTATTAAATTAGATCCTACTGATTTTATATTGATTTCGTTGATCTGAAAAATCAAGTAGATAAAATTAAATTTCAAAATTAAAATCATATTTTGAATTGCAGCTTATTTTTATATACCAAATCTAACTGAATGGGTATGTCTTCCAATAAAGAATTTATAGCATAGGAAAGTACAGATACTTCTTGTGAATACTCTAAAAGGCTGTCTGTTAAGCTTTCTTGAAAAATATTACGTATAACCTCGTGACAGTCTTCTACAATGGGCTTATATTTTCTGGGGAAAAAAATTAAAATTTTAATCTGTAATACAAAAATTGTTTTCTTAGAATACATACTCGTCTAATTTTCCATTTGAAAAGTTTGCTTTCAATGTTATATACACCAATTTACTTTTGATTTCATTAATTAGATCGTAACAATTCCAATTGGTTTTGATAATTTTCGATGTGCTATTTAAGTCCCAATTAACTAAATTGTTAATAAAATCACAATTGCCTTCCTCCAAATCATTAATGACTTGTAAGCTGGTTGCCGATATGTGTCTCTAGAAATGTATGCACCAGATTATAACTAACTGATAATCACTTGGAATAGTTCAAATAAAACGTAAATTACATTTTGCCAAAAGAACTTGTCTTTGCAATTTAATGATAAAATATTTTCTTCGTTCTGAGTCCAATCGATTAAAGGTTTCCAATCACAAATTGACAGGTAACATTCTTTCAACTGAAAATTTAATTCAAGAGTAAGATATTTTTAAGCATTTATAAATTAAATAAGAACAATAATTAATCTTCATTAATTAGTTTATTTTTTTTTTCTCTTTGTAATGTGTATTATCGTATTATCATAAACGACAGATTTACAATTTAAATGATAATATTAAATGACATTTACCTGTTCTGCGATAAATTTCTGTAACACTTCCATAGGACCATTAATATCGTGAATTGGGACGTTTTTAAGATTTATAATTATTTTGTCAGAACTGTCTGTGAGCATATGAACATACGATTCCGCAGCTTCTTCGAACCTAATTAATTATATTGTTGTCATAAGTATATAACATATTATTAATGGAATATTCAACTTTTTTTTAGATAATTTCAAAAACTTACTTTCCACTAGCTTGGTTAGCCAATATGTTTAAAAATGGAAGTTTTAAAAAAACTTCTTCTTTACACCACACGTACAACCCATAGATACAATCTGATTCACGAAGTCTACAATAAGCCCATGCCAGTTGAACTATGGCCAAGATAAATTCTTTGAGAGGAAGTTCATTCTGTTTGGCTAAATGTTGAATAAGATGGTGACCATGACGAATTGCGCACGAGCTGAGTCCTGAGTTTAACGACACTGCGAGCATTGCACTGCGTATGGTAGAATTCCATTCGTAACATGTGTTCCTATTGGTATGAAAGAAATGACGGACTGGCTATAATAAAAAAATAGTTGTTATGATATCGTCTTTTGGACAACAGTTTCTTCGAGGTAGTTACTTTTTGCGCAGCCGGCAACGCCGTAGCGGTTCCGTCGATAGCGTTAGACACACTTTTTTCTAAACACTCGATGAAGGCTACTAAATTTCTTGTGTGTTTTAAATTATTCAACTCGCCTTCTGTAGTTTTGACTCTAGTATTATCGTTCAATGTTATAATGGAATCACGGGCCCACGATTTAATGCCACCTGCAATGCATTTTTTACAATAATTTCTGTTAATTTTTAATAATAAATGTTTGACATACCTTCAATAACACGAAAAGTAGAATTTGGTTTTCCAAATGGGGTGCGAAGACGATTGGTAACGCAAAAACTAGCGGCTTCCCAATTTACCCAAAAATACAACAGAATACGACACTGTTGAGCGTGTGACAAAAACTCCATTTCGCCAGTTTCATTCTCCACCGAACAACCATTCACCACATCCAACAACCAGTAGTTGTTGTAATTACTAAAAAAAAAATACAATTAATTTTGTTTTATAAAAAAAAACAAATAGCTTTCATTTACCTGGCATTACTATTTGGTTCGATCATTTCACACATGTAATTTTTAAAATATTCCGTATGTAGTGTCACGACAGTTTTACGTCTCATATGTGAAGTCATCATTTTCTTAATTTTTTTATTGAATTTACTTTTGTTTTTCTGTGAAAACAAAATAAATGAACAATAAATAATGAAGAACTATTATTACTTTACAATATTTTTTTAAACTTACCATGGACCATATCGATAAACTATGTACAACTGTGAACAGCGATATTTTATGGATTAATCCATAAAACTGTTTGTTGACTTCAGCGTCAATGAGATTAACACACGAAAGACACAAGTCCAAGATGTCCACAATTAGTACAGGCTACGAAAAATGTTACATATCAATAATAATAATAATAATAAAAATAAAAAATTATTTAATATTTGACAACAAATAATACACTCTATGCGTATACATATTTCAACAACAATGCTGTCATCTTCAGACTGAGTCTCCATCTATCGCTAGCTCTGAAGACTACAACATTTTTGCCAAAATATGTATACACATAGTGTATTATTACTATGGATAAGGGTTTAAATATTCTATACAATGTCTATTTAGTAGTTTTTTAAAATACCTTTGACTGACAAAATGTGGGATTTCCAAGTACAACATTTAATATTCGTGCGGTTCCTTCGTACAATACTAATTCATTGTACTTCAATGTTGCGTAAACCAAAGAATGTATGATAGCAATAACTTCGGGAGCCATCAAAATTATATTTAAATAACTCGCACTATCTGCTTGCACGAGTAGTTCATAAATCCACTTCAAAATCAATTGCTTACAGTCCGTGTTTACATTCTAAATACACATACGTAGTATACTAATTAAATCATGTGTTGGCAAAATTAATAGATTTTAATTATTACTATTTTTAAGCATTTTTCAAACATGTTGAGAATTTTGACCAGATTTCCACTTTTGTGGGAATTGATTTCTACGCTCGTTTGGGACTTCTCGTTTGATCTTACAGCTGTTATGAGTGAACTGTTAGCGATGAAATTGGAATGCCTGAAATTAATTAACGATTTGGAATAGAAAACAAAGCAAAACTGATGTCATAATATATCTCACTTCTTGCAATGGGAGTATAATAAATATATTAAAGAGTAACGAAGTGAATCGTTTATGTTTATGTTTGTTGGATCCAATTTTGTGGACAACAACTCAAAAATACTTGGCTGCAGCGCCCACATACCAATTATAGAATTACTGTCGTTGGCTAAAAAGAAAATTATATACAACTAAATTAAAGTAATGTACTGAGAGATATCAAAAGAATGAAAATAAAATAATATTTTTACCAATGACCGTCAGAGATTTTAGAGTAATGTGAAAAACAACAGACGCTTCTTCAATTGTGTAATCAATATCGTCAAACGGGTTATCGGAACAAAATGAAGGCAAGTTTTGGTCAAATGTCTGGCAGGCTTTTTCTAAATCTCCAGTGATGTATCTTAAAGTATTCGAATCGAGTTAAACACATAATAATTTAAGTAGATAAAAAACAAAATTACCTGTAAACTATGAGTACCAAGGAAACATTTTTCATGCTCAACAGACTTTGATACAGAGCAATATAGGCGTCATGTAATTTTACAGATGGAACAAATCTCAACTGTCGCAAACGCGAATCACGACACAAAATTAATTCGATAAATTCTTTCGACAAGTTTGTACTACCTTCTTTTATGACCTAAAAGTATTAAGTTTTATTATATTATTACGATGCAAACATATAATAAATTAAATTAAATGCTGACCTTTGAGATCATTCTGAACATTGATACAATAACGGTTAGACTAAACTCATTGGCACGTGACATTTGCAATTCAACAACTTTAAGCATCAAATCGTTAATAGATGGCATCTGACATTGAAGAATATCCAAAATCAACCAAACGCAATTGTTTGCTGTGAAATAAATAAAAGACTGGTTAAATATATATTTACATGTATAGTTAATTGTATGTAACAAATAAATTTCATTACCTGCTTCAACAATATTTTCGTTAGTTATTATGTTCATACATTTCAACAATGTTTTTATAACAACCATCAAGGCATTACTCATAAAAGACCAAGAAACTACAGATGAGTTTTTAGGACTTAAATGTTCTCCGACGCTTTCTGCCACCGTACAAAATACTCTATAAAACATTTAAAGTATGTGTGAATAACAAATTGGAGAGGGGGGACGATTTACCACAACTAAACAATTAATGAACATTAATCGCTTACCTGATGAAAGCTAGAATTTTATCTAATTTTCCATCAAATTCGTCTGTGTTCTTTTTTTCTTGTTCCAGTTCACTCGATATTGAGGACATATCGTCTAATAGTTGTTCCAGCAAACTCAGCGTAAAACTCATGTCAGCTGTCCAGTATGTTGATAGACGATAGATGCAGTTTGAAATGCATTTATTTGTTTGTATAGATTGAGACGTATCAATATGCCATCCAACTAGTATGTCCACTGTATCCTAAGGATTTCGGTCAGATGTTTAATAAAAGTCATACAAATGTAATTCAAGTGTTTGGTAAAAAATAGTTAAAAAAGAATACGTTCCTAAACAAACTATAAGAACGTACTTGCGAAAGCGTTCAGTTTTTTTATTGAACATCAATGATTTTTGTTCATTAATTTTTATGCTCATTTTCATACAGATAAAAATTAAAATTTTGACCAAATTTTTTTTACACAAAAAATTTGTGAAATATTAACCCAGTTGAGAAAAAAACAATTTTTAAAATGTAAAAAAGAAATTTCAACAATCACATAATTTCGTATAAAGGTTTAATCTTAATAGTAATTTTATATATGTGTTCTATAAATAATAAAAATACAGATTATCTATTTACCAAGTTTCAATTCTAAAATTCTATTGGCAAATGAACTAGCATTCATTGTTCTAAACAATGAACATACCTGCTTCAGATTTTTTTTTATTATTTATTATTATATTTTAAAAGCATGTAATTTGTATCACATAATGCATCCGTATTGTGAATATTATCAACTAATATTGTAACATTTGCAAATACACAAGAATGCTTCTTTAATTATTTTATCTACTATTCATAAAAAATGAACACGAACGCGTACGTTTTTAATGAATGCAAAAGGGTTAATTTTTTTAGTGTACTTTCCAAACACTATATAGTAAAAAAAAATTAAGCACTAAAACTCATGTCTAGTGTTTATATTATATATAAAAGAACTAACCTTGAAAAATGGCTCAAATGCTTGACAGTAGACATCAGAAAAATTTATAGCAACATCGGCAGTGATTGTAATTAATTCAGAAGAATCGATGGATTCTAAAGTCATATGCATGTTCTCCAGTATAAGCTCAAAAACGACAAAAAAAAACTAGTTAGTCAAAAAAAGCTTATGTTAAATAAAATTACAACACCAGAATTAATTTACAAAAAAGTTTGCCTATTTATTTTTCTAGTCGATCATTCAAAATTAAATAAAACATTATTGTAATTTATTATACATACCGGTGCTAAATTTTCCAAATATGATTTTTTTTTATCCAACAAAGACAACTGAAAACGTACATACAAAATTAACATAAAAAGATTATAACAGAGTATATGGTTAATAACTCACCTCATAAAATGCTAACATTATTAATGTTTTAATTTCTTTGTTGCGTTCAGAGTTATACTTAATAAACATTAACTCAATGTATCTAAAGAAAAAAAAAAATTAATTCTGTATATTTTAGAAAAACAAAAATGAATTCATACCTTTTGCAATCATACTGTAAGGCATGTCCGAATTTCCCTAAGCATTTTGCAATTGCACATTTACTGTTAGAAGAAACAGATGTTTGCAAACACCCATACAAATACTCAATTATAACATCGGTAGCTCGTCTAATGTATTTTCTATTTTCTTGCAATAAAAAAGCTTCCTAAAAAAAAAAAAATATTAGGAATGAGTAATTTGTTTATTATGAAAATGAAATTACAAAAATTAAAAATACCTGAAGTTGGTTGCATAGTGAGCTCAGCGTCCGAGTATCCTCTTCATTTACCATTTTTCTTAAAATCTTTGAAATTTTCGAGTCTTCAGACTGACTACCATTGTTGCCAGAGTAATTTTCTAAAAAAAGTACTATTTACTTAAAGTTTGTGTTTTAGGGGCATTATTTTCTACACTGAGGATGTTTTTAAGGAAATAAGCAAACACTAATGGCCAATCACATTCTCAATCTTCATTTAACACAATATTTTTGTCTTCAAGGTACACAATGGCTTTCATTAACTTTCTCTCAATATGTCGAACCATCCCTATTTTGGTCTCCTTTAATTTCTCTTTCCTTTTGCATACTGTCTTTAACCGCTCTGATGTCCTTTTATAACATGCTGAAACTACTTCAATGTATTCTCTATAATCTTCTTTACGATAAGGACAACACACCCAAATGTCCCCTTGTACTTTATACAAGGGGACATATGGGTGTATTGTCCCCTTGTATAAAGTAATTTCTTATTTTTTCTATTCTAGTCATTCAAAAAATCAAATATTTCAGGTATATATAAAATTTAAAACTTATACATTATTTATATATATATATATATATATTTTTTTTTTTTTATTTGAAAGGACATGATCTAAGTGTAAATAATATTATATATTTTTAAATTAAATTTAAAATCTATTGATACATAAAAAAGAAATTACTATTATCATCAAATTAAAATCAGATTTAATTATTTATAAATTATATTTTGTTTACCATAACACACTATCATATCATAAATAATTACACAATGTTTATACGCAAGACATAATTATTCATAAATAACTCATGAGAATTAATAATTTTACAATAATGTTATAAAAACTTTGAACCATATTTTATCATCATCTATAATTCAAGAAAATATAGCTCATTAGAAAGTAAGTAATAAAAATTGTTGATAATTTTTAAAGGTTTAATTAAAATTTAAAACCATTAGGATTTTATCAAAAATTTCAATGTGGATATTTTTATACAAAATGTATTTGATAAATTTAATTATTTTTGTTTTACTATTTCAAATAAGCAATCATCCAAAACTTTTTGTAATTCACGTACAAGTGCTTACAATATTATTGTCCATAAAGACTATTTCAGTTACAAGATACAAGATACAAAAATTCAATTGCCTGCCCTCTCCATAAAATACGATGTTGAGATATAAGATAACTGTATACAGTAGACAAAAATAGTATGTGCCTCATACATATATGTGTCTACACACTGTTGCTTGTAAACAACTTCTTGTCAAAATTACAAATATAAAATGTTACACAATAACATTGCACCATGTGGCATCATACATCTAAATTGAATTTTTTTAAATCTAAATAAAATTTAAAATAACTCACCATTTGAACGATAGTTTGAATAATACACAGATTTGTTTGATTCAAACAGTTCATCACGTTTCTTAGGACAATCGTCACTGTATCGACGAGACGTCAGTCCATGATCAGTGACATATGAACGGTTCTTCATCAGAAACCTATTACCCCTGTAATATGTTCCAGTGGTGGTTTTGTTATTGCGGCTGTCGTCTTTGCCGAATCCACCGTTTTTATAGGTGGCACGATCCGACATCACCATGTCTTTTTGTAGTAATTTATTCGGACCGGGATCTGGCCGCTTGTCGTTGATACCGTTTACGGACACTTTGTCCACGTCGGTTTTACCTTTGGACTTGATAGTAATCATTATAATATCGGTGGTCGCTTTTCATCGCCCATACAGGACAGTATGGTTGTTGTTGTTTACAACAAACAGTAAACTTGTTTTGGTCAAATACAAGGTAAAACTGTACCGCGCCGACCATCGGTTTCGTTCATGAAGTAAACGTCGTATACGGTATACTTACATTGAGAAGTTTCATTCATTACCAATTGAACCTGCGCGGACGGATCGTTTGAAATACATGAATCGAATTGAATGAATCGAGGGGGGTTGAAGTGAAAGAAAGTTCGCCAGCGGTTATCCCTGCGATGAATGAGCGATGGGTGAGCGGAGGGTTACAAAACGCATGCGCTATCAGTAACTATTGTGATGATACCAGCGTTAGATAAGCGATATTTTATTAACTCCTACCGCGGTACCCGCCGCAATGGAAAAATCCACAAGTACCACAACAATGTAATATTTTTATTATCAGTTGCCCCCATCTATTTATATTCAATTTTCAACAATATTCAAGTATTCTAATTCTATATTAAAAATTAAAATATGAATTATTACAATATTGTATAATATAGAGAAATATGCACCGAAAATATTTGTTCGCAAAAAAAACCCGCAAATGGGGAAAAAAGCTCTACTAATAAAACGTTATCGTTTGAAACATTAGGTTTATTTGCTTTGACAAAAAGTGTACACTTTTTCACAAGGACCGTAGAGTAGGTGTGAAAAAAGTGTACACTACTCTAATTAGTGTACACTTTTTTTCAAAACGAACAAAATTATTATGTATGTTAGAATAATTCTTGAATGTCTCATCATATGTTTAATAGTTTAAACTTGTTTTAAACGAGGAGCTGAGGAGTATTGTTCTTACAATGATGTATTTTATCTGGATGATATCTCTTAGGCCGCTGAATCGATTTCTTCATGTAGCAAATCTATAGATCAGAAATTGTACCAACAATTTTTAATTTTCACCACTTCCACTTTGAAATTGAAAGGCAATTTCAAACATTTATCAGCTTGAAATTAAAAATGTCGGTATAAAATACTATATTTTTGACATTACTACTACTAGACGTGATTGAAGTGTTTGATATAATTGGGATGTGGGAACACTATTTCATTTACCTACTTTCATTTTAAAATTGTATTTTTTAATTTGTTAAACAATTATGTAATATGAACGTGTTGTTTTGATTTAAAAATATTAGCGTAATTTAAATAAGTTAAGGTCATTGCTACATTTTAATTACTTGATACAATTGAGGAGATTTGTAGCCAAGACAAAATACATATTAAAACAATTTCAAAGAGCTTGCAGGGACAAGACCAACATTATTTTTTAATTTAAAATTGTATATATATATATATATATATATATATGAACTTAAAAGTCAATATATATATATATATATATATATATATATATATATAGACTTAAAAGTCAATCATTTTTAGATAATAGGTTATTTATTTTATAATTTTGCATTTTTAATATAAGAGATAAGAGTAGAGCTTAGACTGTCGCAATCGTTTCTACAGAAACATTTTTTTTTTATCTAAATAGTTTTTGCGCGAACCAAAAATATCTTGGAATTATTATTAAATCACTAAATTTAACACTAAATAGAGGAGAACTATCACCGCCTATTCAGTATTCCAGCTAAAAGTGTGGTTGTCTTACATTATTTAGTTTGGTTCCTAAAAAAATATTTTTTTTTATAGATCAAAAACAAGAAATTATGAAAAAAAATTGGTGGGAACTGGGAAGGAGAGTAAAATACTTTTTTTAGAGGACTAATATTTTTTATTCTTTCATGTTTACTCAATTGTCGCCTTACTGGTTGCCACCTTATTGATGCTGAACTACTTAACTGTGGGCCGTAGCGATATCCGTGATAAGACATTTTTTTATCATGAATCTCGTGAACATTTTGTAGTTTGAACAATGTTAGTTGTAACTTATCCAAATTTCAAATTTAATAAATTTAAAATGTAAATAATGTAATGCTACTGTCGCTTTACTTGCGCTTTTGTTGGGGTTAATAATTAAAAAAATAATTTATGTAGTTTAGGCAATAAATCGAGAATAGACTGAATTTAAAATTCTATCTTTCTCATTATTTAGAGAAATGAACGTCATTCAAACATCAAAATTATTGTATTTAATTTGTATTTATATCGCACTTCTCAACAACTTTTTTGTCATCTCTTTGGTGATAAACGTAAAAAACCAGGTACGCAGATCATCTTCTCAAATAGTGTAGACCATTGTCTATATAAAAAAAAATAGTGTTCGATCAAAATGGTCGACTTGCTCCGCCATTAAAACGTGTTAAAAATCCAAATTATTAGCCTTTTGAAATTTTCAGAACGGAATTATTATAAAAGAGACAATTGTTGCCAATATAACGGATGATGCCATTACTTTGGAATTACAATTACCCGACTCTACGTTGATTACACAACACATTGATTTTACTAAGGTATAAATTTATTTAGTATCGTCGCTAAGCCAAGAAGGTATTGGTTTTATATTTTTTGGAAAATGAATCAAATAGAATAATATTTTGGTTTATATTTAAACAATTAGGAAGTTCAAATTGTGCAAGTTTTATTGTCAGGGGAAGAAGAACGAGGCCAAAAACCCTATCAAATATTGTGTTTTATCAACCACATACAACCAAATGAGTATATATCTCCAGATGCTATGGCTAAACTCAGACAAGTAAGAAATACAGCGATTCAATTTAGTATTTATACGTATTTTGACTACTATTCAAATTTAATATTTCATAAGAAGTTATCAAGTTGTAATTAATACATTTTAACATTTTCGTTTTTTGTGTTAAATATTTCATATTGGTTATTAGTTTATTACTGTGGCTAGCTAAATGTATCCGAATGCCAATACTAAAATAAATATCCATTTTAGAATTTTTAATGCATTTGAAGGGCTGTGTTGCAAATAGAAAATTTTACAAAAATAATTTTAATAAGTTTAAATATTGAGGCAAAATATTTTATTGAGAAAGACGATTGGCCCAGTGTGTAAGGCGGAAGTTTGATACTCAGTTGTAGGCTACTCTGTTTACCGGGTGGGAAGTCGTCCATTGAATAAGAGTCACCTTCTTTCTTAAAGATTAACCATCCATCCCGGCATAGAAACGGTTGGGTTAGGTTTATTTGATGCTGTGTTAATTTTATTTTGTTGAAAAATGTTTTAGAAAAATCCTGGTACAATAAGAGTTGCCGAAGAAAATAAAGGTATTTTCAACATAACAATAGACATGAAAATCAAACCAAAAGATAGTAGTCATATTTCAAAACACATTTATTCGTTATGTTCAGAAGCACCCGATTCTACATTTACTAGGAAAGTCGACATCGATAAATGGGCTGCCGTACCGGGTATATTACTTGCAAAATATTTGTCAATTCTCGTTTAACACAATATAGTGTTGTTAATTTTTTTTATAACTTTATTACCGTTAACTGTTTGGGGTAATAATTATTACTTATTGTCAAGTTATTGAATTAAACTAACTCTTTATATTAATAATTTTGCTTACATTGCAGGCATGTACTTGGGAAGTCTATTAGAATCGGTCGTGAATATGAATATGACCCCTAGATCCAACCTTAGGTTATGTCGAGATACCGGAAAAGTGTGGTCGCACTGTTTGTGTACAATGGAGGTGATTATACCATGGTACCCGTGCGCACTGAAATTTTGTAAAGATCATATTAGCAAAAAACCTGCAAACGTCGAGAGTTACCGATGCGGTATTCAAACTTGTTCAAAGACTTTAAACTTTATGTATGCCGTAAAGCATAAACATCATTGTTTATCCATCGAATGATAAACTTGTTATTATGCGTTAAATTTGTAAATATTGTAATTATTGTCGTTAAAAATATTTTGTATTAGTGATTGTATTAGCAATTGAATTTATATTATGTATAATATGTTATATAAACACAGTTTTAGTATTTATAAATAAAAAAAATGAAAATGCTATACATTTTTTTTTAAAAATTAGCAAATTATATACTTTATATCAAAGTTGACCGTTAAAAAAATGGTCAAATTATTTTTCGGATTTTCCTGGTTTTGAGGATGATGGAGTTGACTATTTCTACTTTTGACACACCAATGTACAAAACACATACAATTTTGGATCTATAGAGGTGTTATTCGAGTCAATCAGTCAATTGGAAAAAAAGTTATAGTGACTTAACACACAAAAAAAGAAACATCTAGATAAAATCAAAAGCTTCTTGCTATCACATTGAAGCAATAATAAAATAAAAACATTAATAAAAATATTGGTTTATAATTGTTACGCAAAAATTATTATCCGATATTCAAGATGATATTTAAAAGGAAATTATAAGAAGACAATTTGGTCTTAGTACATAAAAAAAAATTAACTATTAAGACAACTATCTTTGAGCAGATTTAGCTATCTGTTCTTTTAAAACGAGAATACTCTGCCGTTGTTCAACTGGCAACATTGCAATTTGTTCGTCGGTCAACTGCAATACTTGCATAATCAACGCAGCCTGAAATACACAGAAATCAAAATTAATTAATATGGTGTACTCAATAAATAATTATATGCAAACATTATTTAAAATAGACACTACTTTATTTCTGCTCTATAAAAAATGTAATTTTTTTTTTTTTAATTATAAATAAGCATCTATTTTGTTGTATAGATTTCATATAATATTTTATAGATTTCAATCAATCTAAAAAGTAATAATTGGTAAAAGCAGACTAAAAAATGTCATTATTTTACTGGAGAATCGGCTTAAGAGACAAAATATATATTATTGCCATCCCAGAACACTCAATTAATAAAAAAATAAGTTTTTAATGAAGTTCATGAGAGTAATAAGTTTACTCAAACTAATAATTTAATCTAATAATAAGCTGAATTTTATTTTCCACAAAAACCTATTTGGACGTTTATAAATATTTTAAGGGTTACATTATTATTTTTATAGTTAAAAAATATCTTAGTTTATTGTCTTATTATTATTTTTTATTTTAACGACTGAAGAGAATCAAAAACATATTTTAGAATAAATAATATTGATGCATATATTTAACTTTTTTATGATATGAAAACCCAGTCATTGATAACAGCACACTGCACTGCGATTATTACATAGATAATTTACCTTTTCAGTGTCGGTGGATGAAGCTTGTTTGGGTTGTTGCTGAACGGTCGAAGGACGTGATGGCTGCAATGGTTGAGAAGGCATTTGTGGAACTGTTACTGAAGGTGCAGAAATATTAGAAGCCGCTCTCGGATCCCGGATCGTAAATTGTTGACGTATATCAGAGTCCATGTTTGTAGCTCGTGGATCTCTTGAAACTCTAAATCGATAAAAGATTATTTATAAATTTTTCTTGAGACAAAGTGTTCTCTAAATAAAAAGTATTTGGTTAGGGTTAACATACGGTATGGGTTGAGTAGGCATTGGGTCGATGGGCATTGAAGTTATTGGCTGCGGGATAGGCATTTGTGATGGTGGCTGCCTTAGATCTTGGTCCATAACTCGTACACGATTCATTTGCCTCAGGTCCATGTCTTCAACTGAACACAAAAATCGTTATTTATAGAAAATAAATTGGGTAACTAAAATCATAAGATAATACAAAATGGAGAGACTGTAAATTGGGGAATTAATTATTTTTTCCATTTCTAAAACTTTACAAGGTAATACAAATATAAAATAGACAATACATACCGGGCAGAGTGTGAGGTTGTACAATAGGATTTGTAGGTTTCGGCTGAGTCCAAACATCGTTGATGGGCATACGTGGTACAGAATTTACAGTTGCCGTGGGCACTGTAGTATTTGGAATCAATGGTGGAGGCACTTTGTGTGCCGAGTGCAACATGCTCTATAAATAATTCGACATAAACAATTAACAGGAATTCATCATTATATTTGTTTCCTAAAGGTCTACCGTGCAGTTAAATAAAAACAAACAAGTATAACCTAAGCATTTTTTTTTTAAGTATAATAAATAATTTGTTTTAAATAATGAATTGTTTGAAATACAATTTATTCAAATTTTGTCTAAATTATTAAAGTTTTGCTATATTTTACTAACAACGGCGACCTGTGGATCCACAATTTTCATTATGACTTGTGCTTGTAACAATGCGTAGCCAAGTTGCGGATTTTGCAATAACATACTACGAGCTTCTGCGGGATTATTCTGGAATCAGGTGTAAAAAAAACCACAATAATAATTGTACTCATAAACCAAAACAAGACAATTGATAAATGTAAATATTCTACGCCAAATATCAAATTAATATGTATTTAAACTTTCTTTATTATTAATACACAACAATATTACTCGACTTTACCTGTATGCAGACTTTCATTTGTTTCATGAGCTCAAACATTTGCTCCGGCGGCAAAGAAGCGACTGCACTACTTATATGTTCAGGTGCTTTTTCAGCACTCACAGCTTCACCATAATGATTTTCTGATGTAGGCATTCCCATCATTAAAGCTAAAAAGTGAATAAAATAAAAAATGGGTAAATAACAAATGATTTATCAACAAAATAATATTTTAACTATAACAACAGAGTTGGGCATTATACTACTAAGAAAATAATTTATTACAATTTCGAATAAACCACTAATAACTATTCATTGGAAAAATTATAATCGAAATTTAAAAAGTCACCGTTTTAAGTTAACTAAAATTATGTTATCATAATAAAAGCTATAAAAATAATAAGGAATTATTTTACTATAATTTAATTATTCTTTATTTTTTTTTAGTTTACTCAAACGTTATTTGAAAATTATTAAATAAAAAAATTAATTTAATATAATATTTCAATTAACATGTTATTAGATTTGTTTTAATCATTATTCACTGATAAATTTGTGCAACTCAACAATACAATGAGATAATATAATTTTAAACTTCACTTTAGAACATAAATACAACAAGGAATTCATAATTACATTGCATTTCCAGTCTTGATTTTTCTGTACAAGCGTTATCAACACGAAGAGTGCGGCCGCCAATTTCATAGCCGTTGAGATTACGCATGGCACTAAGTGCGGTTTCTTGATCTTTGTACTCGCAAAAACCATAGCCTTTTGGTTTTCCCGTTTCTCTATCGTAAACAAGTCTGGAAAATACAGAAACAAATATTTAATTTGATCATATTAATTTGTTGTACATTTGACTTACTTAAAAGATATAACGGGTCCCACTTCGTTAAATATATCTTTGAGTTTTTCTTCAGTAGCTTCATACGGAATATTTCCAACTAAATAATACAAAAATATTTTAAAATCACATTATCATTTAAATAATTTCTAATCACGTTTGTAACTTGAATAAAATATACACTGTATACTATAACAAGTGTAGAAGTTTGACACAGACTTTAAAAAGTCTGTTTTATTTTATGCAGAAATAATAAATTTAATAGCTTAGACGGACCGTAGGTAAATTGTAAAATATGCATAAATGGAGTAAGTAAAAATGATCATACCGAAAACGCTTCTCATAGACTTGTCCAGAATATTTTGATCGGCCATTTTTCTAATTAATAGGGAACAGTATAAAGAATTATACAAAATTTGTTTTTGAAAAATGCCTATTATTCGAATTGATTACTATTAGATAGCAATATGCTGAAATCTGAATGTTCAAACTTCAATGTTGACTGTTGTCGGTAAATGCTGTTATCATTTACCATATTTTATCAAAGTAGTTGTGGCGGTGATTGCAGTGTGCAACGCATGGCGTATCTGATTGTTGAGACTTGAGAATAGAATCGTGCCATAGTAGTATGTGCATTGTGCAAATTAGACTTAAACTTGATTCGAGACGGATTTTAATTATTGGAAAGGCCTATTCCCTTCGGAATATGTTCTTTAGATACTCTAGCTTTAGGTACTCCGTACCTCCCCAGAAAAATCACCAAAATCATCCTGCATGGGAAATATCCTTAAATTTTGGAGAAGAAAAAACTGCAACCATTTATTATTTTTATAAAAATTATTATAACCACAGATATAGATTTATTATCTATATCTGTGACCATAACTTGGCAATTTTTTATGGGAAGGTCTAATTTACTGAACTGTATATTCGGTTGCCTATATCCAGGGGCATATGTTTGAACTACTAAAATGCGCATTTCAGTACATACGCCCCTGGATATAGGCAACCGAATATACAGTTCAGCAGTTTAGTAAATTAGACCTTCTCATTTTTTATTTAATTTGTGAATTATACTATCTATGTAATTTTTTGTCATAAGAAACTATAAATTTTACATTAAAAAGTGAACTATTGCGCTTTGTGAAGTTAAGTGATGAAATAATGAATCGCCGATTACAGAAACCACACTAGCCAATAATATCAAAACGTTAAATTAAAAAAAAAACTGATTAAATTTTTTATGTTTCTGCACAGACTAATGTTTGCTGACCAACACATACATCAAAAAGTTAAATTATATACTATATGTGTTATAGCGGCTGTATTATGTTATATACATTGTAAAAAATACAATTTAAATCTTAATTTAAAAAAGCCAGCTAAGTCGATTCCGGGCATAACAGAGACAGAGCTCAGATACTGGCAGTCACAGGTCTTTAAAATGATAAAAAATAAACTATTTATGGCCGTTCTCACTAGTTTGGCCAACTATGAGTAAATTTTTGTCTATAATTTGACTGAGTTATTTTCTTTGGAACAAATTAAATCTAGCCTCCTTCCAAAAAAAAAAAATACAATTATTTAAAAAGAATTCTATATAATTAATAAACAAAACATTAATTAAAAAAAAAAAAGGAAATTTTACAATTAAATCACACTGGTCTTTTTTATTCTGTACAACTTGTTTTGTTACAAAAATCAATTTGGTATTATCAAGTTCTAAATTATTTACAATATATACTTTACAGTAAATATAAATATGTGTGTTCTAAAACCCTATGAATTCTGCTTCTAAAGGGTTTTGAGCGTCCAGCAACATATAAATAACTCCCGTAATACCTATAAACAGAAAAAAAAAATTTATATGAATAACTATTAATTAAATAAGAAAAAATATACATTTCTACTCGTGTACAAACACACTCCGACGCTCATGCCTAATTTATATTGCTTTCCTCAATTAAGGAGAATCATCACAAAGCTAACAAAGTAGGTATAATCTGTTTACACATTTTATTTGTAAAAATATGAATGTAAATCTGTATTTATTTATAGTAGTAGATCAAATTTGAAAAAATACCTTAGAAAAATATTTTAGATTTGAAATATACATTTAATTTAATATGTATTTTGTCAAATACCTTCAAACAGTGATAAAGGACGATCAGGGTTTCTATTTTGACGATCAGTTGATAAACACCACTCCATGAATTTGGCAGTTCTATATAAATATTTAGAATTCTGTAAGATTGAGAACGATTTAAATTAGTATCATTATGTTTGTTATATACAAAGTGAAATTAAAATAATCAAAAAACATTAAATCAGGCACTACTCACTTTGGTAATTTGATACAGTGCTAAAAATGTATAAGTGTTACCACTAACACCATGGCACAACCCATAACCTTTAGTTAACAAACCTCGACTCCAGACCACTTCTCCAAATTTTTCAGCAGCAAGTAAATACTGATTGTCTTGAAAAACCTTGAAACCATAAACAGTCATTTTCAAGTAGTGCTAACACCCGAAAAGATTTATTTAAGAGTCAAAAACAGTCATAAACAATTAGTCAAACTACAACCTAGAGCAGCTAATCAACATGTCGCAACAAAATTTGTTGTTTTAAACAAAATTCTCACTTTATAAGCTAAAGCAAAAGTTAGGGCAACACCTGCAGCGCCGTGGCACCACTGGACTAAACGATCATTATCATTGTTTATTGACGATTGTATATTGCCCGATTCAAATCGGAAACTGAGTAAATAGTTCAATGCAGGTTTGATGAGATCATCCAACTCTTTTTTAGTCAAATACTCGTTTGCCTATAATAAAAAAAAATGTTTTTCAACAACTAAAATGTTCAACTAAACGATATTCATAAAATTAATATAATGTAAATAACGAACAACTGAAGATCTAATGCAAACAAGCGGCAATATTAAGTCATTGCATTTATTTGGTTAAACATAACCATCATCAATTTTTCGTCAAATGACAGAGCGGCTGGCCAATTTTTAGGAGAAATCCAGAATCATGGAACCGTTTTACTCATTTAACGGTGAATCCTTAAATTAGGCTTTACATGACTTATGGTAGACAACCACTTTAGTCAGTCTAGCAGTCGATTAGAACCAGAACAAGTAGTTTAGTTACACTTACTATAGTCTGTAACATATTAATAAATAAATAAATAAACAATACATCATACCAACAAAAGACAATGCAAAATTCCTGAAAGACCATGAGCTGCTCCTAAATATTTCTTTAAGTGCCACTCATACATAATTGGAGTCTTCTTTATGTTTTCCTTGACACAAAAGTACATGCCAGAATTTAATATTGCCGAAACTATCTATTTATAAAATACGCTTTAAATGAGAGAAAAAAAACTTTAAAAAAATATAAATATATATTTTATGCACCTGGCGAATTAACTTGTCTCTCTGCGGGTCCTTCCATCCTACACGCTTGAGGAGTAACAACGAATACAAATATCCAGCACGGCCATACAATAGTTCATCGGAATAATCTTCATCTAAAACCCGAGGTAACAAATCTGTAACTCTAAGAATTAATAACATACAATTTTAGTTACACTTCAAATAATTGTGTAATAATTTATTTATTTCAATACTCACTTCTTAATCATATTATTCACATTAACGAAGTCCATGTGTGTTTTATATATCGTAGCAGCTGTTACATAAACTCCTGATTCCCCCGTTAGGTATGATACGCGATTGGAAGTAGTATGTAATTTTAATAAACATTTTTCAATGATTAGTTTGGCTTTCTGTCAAAGTAAACTAAATTGAATACAAAAATATTTATTATTCACCTAAAAAAATAAACATACAAACCTCTTTAGTATTCAATTGGTTTTGTGTTTTCAACGCATGGAAATTAAATAGCACAGCGATACCAGCCATTCCAGAATATATTGATTCGACTCGATGATTATCATCACCGTGTTCAGAGTTCAGATATGTTTCGACATTTTCTTGCAACATTGACATTAGTGGCTTGAGGAAATTGGTAATTTTTCTTTCGAAAGAAGGGTTAATTTTTATAATTTCTACATCATACTAAAAACAATTGACACCAATCAATTACAAGGTATACTTGGAAAGTAAGGTTACAACAGTCATTAAAAATTTAAAAATTCATATTTATTAATGAAATGTATGCACATATTATTGATTTTAGATTATACAGATAAGCGGTGCTTTAGACAAAAAGTAAAAATGGCAACCGATTTAATATAGAATTCCTGCTGGCATTTAGAAACAACAACATGTTCTCAGGCCACTCAACTTACATATGACTTTAATACATCTTTTATCTCTTCATCGGATTGAACGTTAGACCCTTTACACAAGAAGTTTGTATAATATCTACTTCGTTCAGGTGTAGCTCTATCGGTATTTGTCGACAACTTCATTTTAAGGGTTTTTTTTATCAAACAAAAAACTTTAAACTTATCTTTCAATTGTTATTAAAATTATAAACCACAGAAGTATAGTACTTGAATCATTTTTGACTGGTAAAGGTGTTATAATTTAGTTAAGATCGTTCAAAAAGTCAATAACCGATGTAGGTAAATGACAGATTTAATGAAGTGGTATTTTCCTTTGAAAATAAATATTATTATACAATTATACACCTCAGAGTTCGGACATACGTTACATTTTGGCTTTGGTAAATTGCAACCGTTGGCGGCGTTACAGTGTTATCAAACATTTTAGTTTGTTATCAAGTGTTTAGCACCGTGACAACATCATAGAGTAAATACTCTATGGACAAATGGACAACATCAATCGGTATGTCGGCTCCTCGTGTTATCAATTTTCACAAGATGGCTGCTCGCGTTCTCACATACGCTATAGCACACGGCCGCAAAGAATACCGGCAGCCATATTGCGATTAATATGAATTACCCACATACCTATTTTCTTTATACAAATATATTGAGATTAACAGGAAGCTTAACCACAGGTGTTTGGGGGGGAGCACGACACGGAGCCACTCGACAAGGAGCCACCGAAAATCGACACGGAGCCACTCGACAAACAGCCATCCGAAGAGATACCAACATGTACAATATTTATGTAAAATGTACGATTATTATTTGTGTATGTTGTGCGGCCGACACCACATATTATAACGGAGTAATAGCAAAAAATGTAATTTCCAAATTGTAAATCAATAAAAATAAAAACAGTAACTTTGTAGAAAATATTATATTTTTATTAAAACCCCTATTGTATAGTAGACATTGTTGATATATTAGCTGGACAATAGTGATAAGTCTTAGTCTAGTTAAAAAAATATCAACCACAAAATAAAAAAAAGCTGTATATTTCAATAACAAATGGAACTTATCACAGATGTTATAAAAATAGCGTAGACAGTAGACACAACGCGGTCACACGGCGTGCGTAACAGTGTTTTTGTATACTATTATAATTTATAACTTATAAGGTTCTGTTCAAATAATTAGTGTCAGCTAAAATACGTTTGATGACATTGTTTTCGACCTAAATAGTTTTAGTAAATATTATTTTCGACTTAAATATTTTTCGGCTATTATATTTTCGGTTAATATATGTTTTGGTTCTAAATTTTTTCGGAATTATTATTTTCGGCATAAATATAACATGATAACTAATACACAGATATGAAAATATATAACACAAAATTAAATAATATTTAACTATAATTTATTATTGTGTTATTGCCTATTGGAAGTTGTTAAGTATTTAAGTAAATGTGTTTAATTTTATTGTCGGGTATCGAATAGTTTCGTATAAGGTATTCACGATGTATTTTCTTATTTTTCAATTTTTTCTAGTTTTTCAGGTTTTTCAGGTTTTTCTAGTTTTTCTAGTTTTTTTATCTTTTCTAGAAAAACTAGAAAAACTAGAAAAAACTGAAAAACTAGAAAAACTAGAAAAACCTGAAAAACTAGAAAAACTCGAAAAACTAGAAAAACTAGAAAAACTAGAAAAACTAGAAACTAGAAAAACTATAAAAGTTTATCTAGTTTTTATAGTTTTTTAGGAAAATTTTTAGAAAGTTCATTCTCACCAAATTTGCCTAGTATCAGTTCTAATACGTGTTCATTACATTTAACTGCCGAAAACTTTAAAACTGTTTATTTTTTAACACCATAAATAATTCTCTCCTCGTAAACTTTACTTTACTTTACTTGAGAACACAGTCGGGCTTATCATGACTACCTACAAAAGAGAAATTGAAAAAATAAAATAAGAGAAAAGGTTATTTTTGGCATGGTCTTGAACCGTGACTGCGTACGGTACGGCGCCTTCGATAGTGAGACGCGTTGCCGACTAGACCACGATTCACGTGACAACATTAACCTTCATGCGCTCGCGCGGACGGCAAACTGGCCGTCCTTATACATTTTCTCAAAAATGTTTGTCCAAAGTGCCAAGGAAGCGGTGAGAAGGGTATGTATTCTCTAGTTATACATCTCCGATAGAATATGATCGAATTTGGTCAAACTAGTCCACCCCAGCAGTTCAGTATAGCCACAAACTCAGTAGTGTCAGTATGACGGCCAACTTGCCGTCCACGCGAGCGAAAATGAGAATTTTTGCCTGTATTTTTTATACTTACGATCTGGATTTATATTATGAAAAGGAAGCATATAGGAAAGGCAAGTGTCAATAGAAATTACAAGAACCTTTTACCATTCCCTCGATGCTCTGAAGAAAATTTTTCTCAAAAATTTAAAAGGACGGCCAATTTGCCGTCCATACGAGCGGCTGAAGGATATTTCTATTATTTTTAAATAAACATTTTTGGTCAGCATTTTTTATGTTCCAATGTTGTGTTAGAGGTAATTGACTCTAAATATTTCGAAACATCCACCTTAAATAAAGAATAACTCACGAAAATAATAAAAAAATAAGGACGGACAAATTGCCGTCACGCGAGCGGTAGTGTAACTTTAGGAGGCGCGAGAGCATGAAGGTTAAATAGAATACGCTCTATTTAACAAAAGGGGAAACAAAGGAATTTGATTTTTACTCTTTTATGCTTATTACAAGTTATGTTTTCGTACTAATTAAAAAAAGTCGGTGTACTTTTCGGAACTTTTTTTAAAACTCCAGCCAAAGTAAAAATTGTTATAATATTTTAAACAAAAATAGTAATTTTAAAATGTACAATAGATATGTATAACATACACCTGGTATGCAAACGATTAAACCAGATAAAAGTACATACCTGACGCTTCAGAATCCATTTTAATAACCTTATAAATTTTAAACTAGGAAAATAGGATAAGCACAAGTAATCGATCAACAGTTTCGACTCGATTATTTTTATTAGCGCGCCACACAAAAGAAATCTTTTAAGTTTAATACCTCTGTCACCAGACGTCCAAAGTTCAAATATGAAACCATTTTATCGTAACCAATTATCTAACAACTTATTTCTAACAATATCATAATTTTTAAAAATAGTTCAAAAATAGAGTTTTGTCCAACTAGATTTAAATTTTGACCCACTGTGCGGCGTAAGGTCACAACTCTAATAGGTATAACATTTTTAATGTTTAAAAAATATTAAAATAACAATTTAAAAACTAAAAAATCATGTTTATAAAAGTGTATAAATGTATGTAACAGTTGAAATATCATAAACATTTAAAAATCGGGCATATGACTACATGCTACCCTGTAGATTCCGTATCTGTACAGTCCGTACGGTAAGAGTGTTTATGGATTCCGTAAAAGTACGGTCTGTAGCATAATTTTTTCCGAATTCGTACGGTCCGTGCTAATACGGTCAGTGTCATTTAAGATTCCGTAGAAGTACGGCCCGTAGTTTTACGGTTTTGTTTTTTCCGTGTTAGTACGGTCCGTAACAATACGGTCCGTAAAATTACTTTCCGAAATGGTACAGTCCGTGATAATATTTTCCGTGATTTTACATGCGTCCATACAAATGCCCATGAAGAAAGAGGGAGTTACCATGTGAGCCCTTGGCTATGTTTATCTCGGTGGCCGCTCCCCCAACACAGTAACACTATTTTTATTATAGAAAAATAAATTTACCTTATAGGTACAACTATAATTATGAATTATTATTGTTGTTATTTTTAATTATGTCCATATAACGGGACACAACTAGTGACAAGTATTGTATCGTTTGTGTCTTCAATCTCTTGGTAAAGAAAATTGTTGGTTTATAAAACACAAGTAATCTTTGAGCAAGGTTAAGTAAAACATGTAAAATCATATCAAGTGCCTTTTCATAAAACTTATTAGACAGTTTTAATATTTACGAGTATTGAGAAAAGGTGGTTTATTATTATTATATTTGTATCATATTTATTAACATTAAATAAGAAATTTAGTAAAGCAGTTTCATGTATCTTTAAAAATATATTGGATTGATCACATACAATGTTAAATAAAGTATTAACTGAGTTTTGTATACGGCTATTCCTTTAGCTATTTTTCATAACAAGTCATAGTATTCATTCAAATATAATTTATTTGCATGAATAGGTATAGACGCGATACCCAAACATGAAAAACTACTCTTTAAAAATACATTTTTTATCAGTCATAATAATTTGTATTAAGCTATATTGCCAGTTTTCTAATTTCAATTAATGTAATGACTTAAGGTCAATGCTTTTGATATAAGTTAAAAAATTAAAAACAATTCTGAAATACACAATGTCTAGATTTAAATGAAATTCCATTATTTTATAATAATCACATCTCTATTGAATTTATAGATTATTTTGTTTTGTTATATACTATTTTATTGTTACTTCTATTCTATTTCGAATGTGAAATAATCAAACATGTGTAGGTATTTTAAATTAAAAATATAATTTCCGAATTAAAAAATAAATTATTTATTTATAAGAATAAATAATAACGTACGTTTTCAACATTTACATTATATAATATATTAATATTTATTAAATTGTATCATTTTTTTTTTATTTATAAAATATTATAATTGATTACATACATTTAAAGATACTTGTTGGACTAGAACTAACAATAAGACAATATACATTTATTGTATTAATAAATTTAAAACATCAAATATCCAACGTATTAACTTTTGTCAATGCGGGGCCATATTTTACATTGAACGGTTTTGTTTATATTCAATTCTCTTTATGTGTGTTTGAAACCATAATTTGGAATTGAACAAGCACCAAAAAGTACGTGAACATAAGGCCTGCCGACTGCGAAACATAGACAATCATTTAAACATTACATTTGTGTATACTAGCCTTATTTAAAATACCTACACCCCAAAGTAGAGGTAGATTTATATCGAATAACTTCAATACTGTAATACGTACTGCCCGGCTATTGACTCGAAGTGTGAATACTTTTAGCTGTCAAAAAATTAAAAACGCCAATTACAAATACTTAATAACAATATATATCAATTAGTTAATTTGTTGATGATTCACACAATGTTTAGAATTCATTAAATATTTTAAAACTTATGTATAATAATATATAATAATATATATATATTTTTTTTTTTAATAATTACACCTGTTATCAGTTACATAATGATCAAGTACTTATTAAGAAAACGATTCTATGCAAATTACTTTAATAAGTACAAAAACTATAAGCTATTTTTAAAAATTCAAAGTTTCAATCTACACCTCTACTATAATAATCACACTATTTTTTTTTATTTATCACTATTCATGAATTAGTAAGCGCCGCGATTTAATAATAATAAAATAATTACTCACAATAGTTTGACAAATGGGATCGTCACCCAACACATTTCCCAAATGTCGAATTTGAGAAATTATCCGTTGACTCTAAATTTAAAAGTAAATATTTGTATTATTAGTTAATACAAATATATGAATCTTCTATTAAGTATTAGGTGGATTAGAGCTAATATTCACCTAAGTAATGTAACAAACTACCGTTTTCTATTAAATCTTGTTGTCACGATTTTCACAAATGTATTTCAAAATATCTTAACCATATTGCTTTTACACATACCACCCAAATTTATTTTATATGATAAAAAATAATTGAATAATTTGTAAATTTGTAATTCGACTTTATAATTACCTCTTTGGCAGTAGCATTGCATCTGTAACACAAGTAAATCAAATTCCCCGCCACAATGCATATGTGAATGCATACGTTAACATACGTGGAAATGTTCACAATCATTTTACGAACTATGATTTCCCATATAAATATATACAGACTTAAAAATAACTGAATGTAAATGTCCATCATTATAAATAACAATTCTGGTCCGAAAGTATTGGATACATGTCCAATGAAGTCTTCAAGAAACCAATGATCGTTCATCACCGATCTCAATCGCAACGCCCGTTCAGACTTTGATATCAAACTGCACAGTGCTCCCATTTCTCTATAGAATAATATATATGTATATACATGTATTTTCTACGAGATATTATGTAATATAAATTAGGGTTATCAATTAACATTAAAACAAGGTTGGAAAAATTACAGTCAATAATTCAACCAAATTAACTCAATAAGAAAATTGATAAATGTTAACATGTACAATTGTATTACTGTATCTGAAAACTAAGATTTTTTATAAAAAAAATATTGAAGTAAAAAGAATATTCCATTATATTTTCTTTAAAATTCTTATAATTACAAAATAGTATAAAACTATTTTAAACATATTATAGGTTTTTTTTATTTTTAAATTATTTTATAAGACGTATTACATCTAATAAAAAAGAAAATAATTATGATGGGCGTTATAAAACAAAGAAATAACAAACTATTTGGTAATTTTTTAAGACATAATAAGGGCGTATCAATAGTGATAAACGATGGATTCGATCAAGGAAAGTATTTATTGCAGAAATAAACAGGTTAGCGGAGTGCGATAATTATTTTGTGTAACAATTTATAACGGTTAATTTATAGTCCTGTCAATCTTGGTCTGCGCCGATAACACAATAAGTACATTTTATTTTTCTGCTAAATTAATATTGCCTGTAAATTTGTGTACCATTGTGAAATGTATAAGAACTATAAATAATATTACCTGTTAATGTCTTCGTAGGAGTTCTGAGATACCAAACACATAATGTTAACCAGGTGCACGATTAATAAGGGGCACGTAAAAGAGGCGTAAAAAGCGTATTGAACCATTGGATTTGCGTGTGCGGAATATTTTAGGAAAACTCCTATTTTGAGTATCATAGAAAACATCAACACCAGTACGGCCAACGAGGCGATGGGCAAACCGCGCGAGTATCGACACCGAAGCAACAGGACTACGACCATGTTCATGCAACGGACGGTTTTTTTCAAACGGAACACGGCCAAAATGATTATTATTGGAGATATTGTTAAATGCGAGAGGATCACAACTAACGCACTACAATAGTTGTCCACCAAACAACTGCCTGTCTTATTATTGGCTATAAACTTAATAATGATTTTCGACATGCCGATTAACGTCCACACTTGTATTGCCATCTGCAATATCCAAAGTATGATTGCTGTTTTGCTCACGTGAAAACGTACGTCGTAATCTGAAAAATCAAAAAAAATCGGGACGCCAAACACAATCACAATAATCAAGCGACCATACTTAAAGTTTATATTTTTACATACATAATTTGGGCTTTCAAATAACATGCCGTTAATCTATCGGTTATCGAATTCATCAAGTACACTTATATCAAATTTTATCAATTTTAGGTTATAGTTACTCTGCTTATAAAATTGAGTTAGTTTTTCCTGACCCACACAGATTTTTCTTCTCTAGGTTATTGTAACAAACACATTTATTCTTGCAGCTGTTATGAAATCTCCCATGAAAATCTTTCGGACTACTATTGTTCTCGATTTTACAGTATGAGTAAATGTCAAATTTAAAAAAAAATTAAATTATAGATTTAAACCATCAAACCTTAGTTTCCTTTTTCTGATTACGCTGTTGATAGATATTTAAATATATGAGGTACCTTTTCGCCAGAAGGTTGATTTCCAGATACTCGCCAAAATGTTTGCAAACTACAAAGTGCATCATAGTCATTTACTTAGCTATAAAGATTTACCAGGTCTCAAGTTGTTCAAAGATCAATCAGTATTCAGTAAATAGCACTAATGCAATTTTGGAAAATGCCGATAAGAGGTTCCTTTTTCACTTTCCACATTACATTATTACAAATCAACTTCTCAATTTAGATTTAAAATTCGCATACGCTATTCCTCTACTTTTCTTATAAGCATAATAGGAATTTATTAGCAAAATTGGTTAAAATTACAATTATATTTGAGAAATGCTTTTTCATAGTTATTTATTTTTTATTTAAACTCGTATCGCTATTTCTATATTTTACACATAAGCCATAATATATATTTTTCTTATAAGCCACATAATAGGTATTTCTTATCAAAAATATTTAAAATTACAACGGTATGAGGTAAATGCTTTTTCATAGTTATTTATTTTTTATTTATTCTTACTGTTATTATGAAATCTTCCATGAAAATCTTTAGTATTCGTTATGATGTTCATTATTCGGTAGTATGAGTAACCAATTGGTAAGATTCCAAACATTTTATTAAGGTAATATACCGGAGCGATAGAAGCCAAACGGCCAACTTTCAACATCTTCTCCATAGTTAAGATGATGGCTGTATTCTAAATCAAACTACATGTTACTATTATATATTCCGTCAACTTTTTAATTATAATAGAGCTGGACAGTGACGTCTTTACACTAAGGGCACGTGGGGCACGTGGAAGTTAAGTTGGATATTTAAAATATTTAAATTGTTATTTTAACCTTAAATTAAACCCTTCAATAGCTTGTTCATAGTTCAGGTAGTGGCTGTGTACAAAGTAAAACTACTTGTTATTATTAAATATTACGCCAACTTTTTATATATAATAGTACTGGATATTTTAAATATTTAAAGGGTTATTTTAACCTTTACTTGTATTGTCAAAATTACTGAATTATAAAAGATGGCATATACTTGTATACATATTTTTAGTTTTTTTAATTTTTCTGTTAAAAAAACTATAGAAAAAACCACTAATGAATATTTAAACTCTAAACGAACAACGTATTTTTCACTTATAATATGACTTTCTTTTGTCTATTATATTTTAGCTTCGATGCGGAGCTGAGAAGGTATTGTTTTTTTTTTTATGCACATGCATTTTTACGGTATAAAAACATGAGTTGGTTATCATATTACAGCTCTTCCAAAAATTGTCCTGAACGTTATTTGTGACCTCGACGAGGTTTTTTTAAAAACGCAATTATTTTTTTATTTAAATAAAGGTAAAACAATTTTTAAGCACTAATAAGGTTATTGTAAAAATCTTGTCAAGACGACAGAGATAATGTTTCTTTTAGATGATATGTGTAACTCTCCTATCAGACAATATTTGGAGATATGTATCAAGAAAGCGGAGACAGTTTTTTCCCAACATTTTAAAATCTCAGTCAAGAATCTGTGATAATTCGAAAAATAATTTACTACCACAAAAGAAACCTTATTACTTAAAATAATAACTGATTATTAATATCAGACGGATTTTTCGTTACGAAAAACTTTCGCACAATTTTAACAAATTAATATTGTCATAACCTAAACGCTTTAACCCGAATCGCCGAATGTATATACTTTTTTTTATGTGTTTTTTGTTTAATCGTGTGGTTCACAGTCAGTTTTAACTTGCGATAACAGAGAAGGTATTGGTTTTCTAATGATGTTTTTTTTTTTTTTCTGTAGACACGATAACTTTTTTCCTGTTGACCGATTTACTCATGTAGCACCACTTTTAAATCCGAAATCGTATGCAAATGGTACTTTGGTGGGTCAAAAGTAAAAAAAGTCAACTCTTCCTAAACCTACACTTTTTGGACCATTATCCTTTTTATCCGTCTATAAATTATGTAAGATAAATTATTATTTAATATTAGTAGTACACATTTTTACATGGGTTAATGTTGACATGGACATGTGTTATGGTTGGGGGTCATTCTGAAATATTGTCAGTCACGTTTAGTGTCATAGTGCTGACGTTATTATCATTACGTCATTAAGTATATACTGAGTGATTTTTTTATCATGGACCACTTAATTTCTCAAAGTGTTTAAAAAGAAATTCAATTATTTGTTCATATTTTTTTTATACAATGTGAATTAAATTTTCTACAATTTTTTTTTTTACACCCTCCCAACTAATTTTTTTTGATAGCAACTTTTACATTTTGAATGGTAACGTACATATTTTATTACCTTTTAAATTGAGAATAATATACTATAATTATATTTTGACTGGTCAATAACCGGTTTTGGACAACTATTTTGAAGTTATTAAAGTTTCAAGTTTAAAGCAGGAGGAAAGGTGGAATGTAGTACAATTTTTATCTGCGCTCATACAGAATTAAAAAATATTTTGTACTAAAAAAAAACATAAATGTAAATATTTGTTGTGTATGTGTTAATGCTTTGATGAATTAAAAAATTATTATTAACTTAATAATCTTGGAATCTGCACTACATTTTAAGACTGAAAGCAAAGTCTATATTCAATCCGTATGTAATCAAAGTTTTTTTACTAACAAAACGAATCATTATATAAATCTAAAAAGTAATTTACAAAATAAATACAAAAAAGACATCATTAATATAAAAGAACAAATAAGATCGTACATTTTCAACATTTACGATGAGTCATAAATTAATTCTTGATCATTTCATTTTATGATCAATAAAATTATATAATCGATTACATATATTTAAAGATAATAGTCCTAACATGAACTAACAATAAGATAATATACATTTATCTTAATATTAATTTTAAAATCAAATATCCAACGTATAAATATTTATTAATACAAGGCCATTTTTCACATTTAACTGTTTTATTTATATTCAATTATCTTGCTGCGTGTTTGTAACCATCTATTTGGAACTGAACCAGCACTAAAAAGTACGTGAACATAAAGCCTGCCGACTGCGAAAAATAAAAAATCATATAAACATTTAATCGTCTGTACAAACAATGTTTAAAAGACCTACACCACAAAGTAAAGGTAGATTTATATTAAATAACTTCAATACTGTAACAGGTACTTCCCGGCTATTGACTCGTAGTGTGAACAATTTTAGCTGTCAAAACGAAAAACTGCCATTAAAAATTAGTAAAATACTTTATAACACTACATATTAAATAGTTTTTGATGAAAACACAAAAAAACGATTCGATGTAAAACAACATTGCGTGGTTTAACTTAATACAAATT